TGGTCTTAGGCGACCCCTGTGAAAGGGTCGTTCGACCGCCAAAGGGGTCTCGACCCACAGGTTGAGAACTGCTGACCTAGAGGGTATTATGTGAAGTGAAGTAAGTCAGACAGAGAAAGATAAATATGTATGAACTCACTTATATGTGGAATCTAAAATAAAACCCCAAATAAATAAACCAAACAAAACAGAAACAGAGTCACAGACATAGAAAACAAGTTGATAGTTACCAAAGGGGAAGGGACAGAAAAAAATGAGATGGGCATGTACAGGATAGGGGATATAGTCAATAATATTGCAATAATCTTTTAAACAATCATAGATGGTACCTAGATTTAGCATAGTGATCACTTTGTTAGGTATATTAACCCTATATAATAAAAGGCTAATATGCAAATTGTCTGCTCTGGAGTTTGACCAAGAGACCAGGAGTTCAATCTATTGCTATGATGTGCGCTGACCACCAGGGGGTGGTGCAGAACATGGCGAGTGACCAGTGGCAGTGGAGGGGCGCTGAGGGAGTGAGAAAAGGAGGAGGTGGGGAGGCTGGGAGGCAGGGAACCTGATGGGCCCTGATTGCCAGCCAGGCCTAGGGACCCTACCCATGCATGAATTTTGTGCACCGGGCTTCTAGTGTTGAATAACTATCTTGTATACCTGAAACTAATATAATAATGTATGTTAACTATATTTCAATGAAAATAAAATAATTAAAGAACAAAATGGGGCAAGGGATGGTTGGCTTACTCAGTTCTGTTGTCCCCTTCACATCTTTCTTCTTTAAAGTGTTTACTATAAAGCACACCTTAAATATTGAGGTGTAACAATAATAAATTGCATCTATGATCTTAGTTTTCTCTGGAATAATTGCCTCTTAAATATGTTCCCTCATGTATGAAAAAATAATCTATCTCTATTTTTGAGTAGACTACTGGGCGACTGTTTTCTGTAGCTAAATAGTCTTTAGCTATATAAGCCCTGTGTGTGCTTAAATTCTTTATGTGGTTGTAATACTTTAATTGTGTTTGAAACACATGAGAGAATTGTATAATGAACCCCCATGGACCCATCATCCCGCTTCAGTGATTATCCATATTTTGTCAATCTGCTTTCTTCTCTCCTGCTCCCTGCAAATTTTTGGCAGAGAGGAATGCTGGAGTACTTTTATGCAGGTCTCAGACTTCATATACTTTCTCTGTTAAATACTTTACTTTGTGTATCTAACAGAGAAGGCCCTTCCTTTGTTTAAAATATAACAGCAATGCCATTATTGCACCCACAGAATTAATAGTAATGTAGGAGTTCCTTGAATTTTTGGTGAATTCAGAGTAGAAAGAGTATTGGGCTGAAGGAACTCTGGCCTGAGTTTACCTCCTTTCCTTCAGGAAAAAAAAAAAAAGATGTAGAATTCATTGAGGAAAGGTCTTTGGATTTAAACTGGCACTTGTCCAATCCCTTATATGACTTTCAGAAAGCAAGTATGGGAAAGACGTGCCCAGAGCAATGCTGAATACCTACTGTGTACACCTCCATATGCATCATCTCCTTCAACCTTCACACCAAAGCTGAGAAGTAGAAACCACGGCTCTAGGAGGAGCTTCCCAGATATAACCTCTGATTAGTCAAAATTGGAATATCACAACATTAACCTGACTGCAGATGAATTAATAGGAGATTCCTATTTAGTGTTAGTGCACAGGCTACTTGGTTTGTGCCTTAATCTAACCAAATGTTTAACTGTTGTAGAAATAATAACCAGTTCATTCTTTGAGATTCCCTGGGAAACAGTTAAATGAGGATAATAATATCTCAGGCAGAGAGAGCATGAAAATGGCTTTCGCTTCCCAGCCCAGGCTAAGAGATTTCGCTTAGTCTTCCCCTCTCTCTACTCCCCCTTTCCCTAATGGATAAAATGCAAATTATAGGGCTAGAGGACATTTGTAGGTTTGAATTTTTGTCTTGGAAACCTATAACCTTTTATTCAGTAAGGATCATCTTTAAACAGCAAAATAAAGAAGTGCCTCCTTAAACATACTTGGCCATGGGAAGAGGCCCCTTGAAGTATTCCAGAAAGAAAGAAAAAATGGAGGCAAATATGAGGGAGGCAAAGAGGAAGGAAGGAAAGGAGGGAGAGAAGGAGGGAGGGAAAAAAGATCAAAGAACCTTCATAAATCTAGACTGATTTTATGACCCAGCTTGAGATGAACTCTGGTAACTTAAGTTGTGTTCAAAATATCCTTCTGGCCCTAACTGGTTTGGCTTAGTGCAGTGATGGCGAACCTCTTGAGTTCGGCGTGTCAGCATTTTGAAAAACCCTAACTTAACTCTGGTGCCGTGTCACATATAGAAATTTTTTGGTATTTGCAACCATAGTAAAACAAAGACTTATATTTTTGATATTTATTTTATATATTTAAATGCCATTTAACAAAGAAAAATCAACCAAAAAAATGAGTTCGCGTGTCACCTCTGACACACGTGTCATAGGTTCGCCATCACTGGCTTAGTGGATAGAGTGTCGGCCTGTGGACTGAAGGGTCCCAGGTTTTTTTTTTTTTTTTTTTTTTAAATTAAATCTTTATTGTTCAGATTATTACAGTTGTTCCTCTTTTTTTTCCCCCCATAACTCCCCTCCTCCCAGTTCCCGCCCCACCCTCCGCCCTCACTCCCCACCCACTGTCCTCATCCATAGGTGCACGATTTTTGTCCAGTCTCTTCCCGAATCTCCCACACCCCTTTCCCCCCAAGAATAGTCAGTCCATTCCCTTTCTATGTCCCTGATTCTATTATAATCACCAGTTCATTCTGTTCATCAGATTATTTATTCACTTGATTCTTAGATTCACTTGTTGATAGATGCATATTTGTTGTTCATAATTTGTATCTTTACCTTTTTCTTCCTCTTCCTCTTCTTAAAGGATACCTTTCAGCATTTCATATAATACTGGTTTGGTGGTGATGAACTCCTTTAGCTTTTCCTTATCTGTGAAGCTCTTTATCTGACCTTCAATTCTGAATGATAGCTTTGCTGGATAAAGTAATCTTGGTTGTAGGTTCTTGGTATTCATCACTTTGAATATTTCTTGCCACTCCCTTCTGGCCTGCAAAGTTTCTGTTGAGAAATCAGCTGACAGTCGTATGGGTATTCCCTTGTAGGTAACTGAGTTTCTTTCTCTTGCTGTTTTTAAGAGTCTCTCTTTATCTTTTGCTCTTGGCATTTTAATGATGATGTGTCTTGGTGTGGTCCTCTTTGGATTCCTTTTGTTTGGGGTTCTCCTCGCTTCTTGGACCTGTAAGTCCATTTCTTTCACCAGGTGGGGGAAGTTTTCTGTCATTATTTCTTCAAATAGGTTTTCAATATCTTGCTCTCTCTCATCTTCTGGCACCCCTATAATTCTGATGTTGGTACGCTTGAAGCTGTCCCAGAGGCTCCTTACACTATCCTCGCATTTTTGGATTCTTTTTTCATTTTGCTTTTCCGGTTGGGTGTTTTTTGCTTCCTCGCATTTCCAATCATTGACTTGATTCTTGCGCTCCTCTGGTCTGCTGTCGGGAGTCTGTATAATATTCGTTATTTCAGTCCGTGTATGCTTAATTTCTAGTTGGTTCCCCAATATAACATCGAGGGTCTCATTAGTTTTCTTGTAGATCTCATTAAGTTTATCGGCGGCTTCTAAACAGTTCTTGAGAGACCTTAAAAGTGTGGTTCTGAACTCTATATCTTCCATTGACAATTTTGTCCTGTTTCTTTGTCTCCGCATTTTGTTATGCTTCCTTGGTGCACCCCCTAGTGGTCTTTGTTCGCAATCTTATAGTTAAATCTTGATTGTTGTAGCTAATTCCAGGGAGGGTTTGACCTCCAGGCCAAGTGGCTATGAGAATCAGCTGTGTCAGCAGTGAGAGAACTTCTGTCCTCTAGGGAGGTGCTAATCTGGCCTTTGCCTGAGGCTATCCGGCAAATGCCTCTGTGCAGGGCTTGGGCAGGGCGGGTCGCACAGGATCAACAGGGTGGGCTGGAGAGAGCAGTTATGGCGGCTCTCAGTCCTGTCCCCAGGGGCTCTGCCTCTCTGAGTCCCAGCACCCGCTGCAAAGCTCAGAGAGAAAGCTGCACTCGCTCTGACTGAAGCCAGACAGTCCCGCTTCTCCCGTTTGAGTCTGGCCTAAAGACTCACCCGTATCTGGAGCTCAGATTCTGCGACTCCCTCCCGATTGAAAACGCCAACCGCGCCCTCCACCGCCAGCCTGCTCCGCGCACTCTGCACCTCAGAATTTGACTTCAGCACTGTGCCTCCTCTGAGTGTCCGTATGCGTTTCTCTTTCCTCCTAGTTGTAGGACTTCCACTCAGTCAGCGTTCCTGTGGTTCTGGGTGATGTCCCTTCCGTTTTTTGGTTTCACTTTTGAAGTAGTTGTTCAAAGCAGCAAACTCCTGCGTTAACCTATGCCGCCATCTTGGTTCTCGACTCAGAAAACTTTCGGGTCCCAGGTTTGATTCTGGTCAAGGGCATGTACCTTGGTTGTGAGCTTGATCCCCAGTAGGGGTCATGTAGGAGGCTGCTGATTGATGTTTCCAACTCTCCCTCTCCCTTCCTCTCTGTATAATTAATAAAATATATTTTTAAAAAATGTCCTTCTGCAGACCCAAAGGAGTAAGCAGACACTTAAGTACCTCCCTTAGTAATGAATGAGACCATCCTAGCAGGTTAACTGGGAAGCTACTGAAGCTTAAACTGCAGGGCCCAATCCTTACACTGATCCCTCCCAAAACTTTGGGAGAAGCTCTAGAAAGGGCGTCCTGTGCTCAGTGTATCAGCTTCAAACCACTCAAAACCCAGACCCATGCATGCATCTCAGGAATAGAGTTTTCAGGAGAATCATGTGTTCATAACCAACTCTTGATTCTTGATAAGTCCCACATTTCCCTAGTAGTAGAGCTTTTTTCCTTTTAATTTCTCTCTGTAATTTGCAAGGATTTAACCTAATTTGTATTTCATTTGTGCAGATGAAATTATGCAGCAGGAAATCAGGCCCTTGTTGGCAGTGGATATAATTGAACAACTTCACAGACAATTTGCCATTCTTTCAGGTAAGGGGCTAATTCATGTGTATTTCTAGGTTTTATTGGGGGTTCTGCTCAGAGGGCCCAGACTCTTGAATCTTGGTGAACATTATACGCGAGTCTCAGTCATTCCTTAAGCCTCACCCAGAATAGAATGAACGGGGGGACCATCCAGCTGCATTGGGGGTGGGGGTGGGGAGGGAATCTCATGGATGTCATTCCATTAGCTGTTGGATGCAATTTGATGTTTCTCAAGGGAGTACATTTCTTCGAGGTTGGAAAAGAACAGAGCTGAAAAGATTTTGAGGAAGAAAAGAAATAATTACTGACATCAGCTGCCACCATGATGTTCTTCTAATAAGATCCAACCTTAAGAGAGTCTTGGTTTTAAGGGTTCATGAATATTGTGAGGTTGTTTGTTCTTTGAGAGATTTGTCTTGTATCCTTAGCTCTTAAGACCTAATTTTAATATGTTGTTGTTTTTTTATTAAGCATTTGATTAGGAATAGAGAGAGGCTAGTATTGATAAAAGGCTAGAAATTTTCTGAGCCTGGGCACAGCCCTGAAAAGTTGTCATTACTAGATTATTATTCTTTCTTATTCACTTAGCGAAGGGTGATATGACATTAATTACTGAAACTGGAAGTACATACCAAACCCTAAAATATAGTTAGACCAAACTTGGAAGCATGGGGTAGTGAGATTAGATGTTCTTAACACATATCTCAGAGGAATAAGGTAACAAGTCACTATCCTTATCTTTGAAAAAAAAATTTTTTTTTTTATTGATTTCAGAAAGAAAGGGAGAGGGAGAGAGAGATGGAAACATCAATGATGAGAGAGAATTATTGATTGGCTGCCTCCTGCATGCCCCCCACTGGGGATGGAGCCTGCAGCCTGGGCATGTGCCCTGACTGGGAATCGAACTGTGACCTTCTGGTTCATAGGTTGACACTCAACCACTGAGCCACACCAGTCGGGCACTACCCTTATCTTTTATAGCTCATCTGAAAAAAGCAACAAAGCCATCTTAGTTACATTGTAGAGAGAATATGTAGTTAGTGTGGATTTTACTCTATAACAATGGGATGTAAAAAAAGTCACGTTTCTTTCTTTTCCTAAATTATATTTAATCTGCTCTAAACTCCTTATTCTACTGAGTTTAAGGGAAATTTAAACTTTGTTTTTCAGGTCTGTCTCCCACCCCAGAGTAGTATCCTAGGTGGGGACCTCCTATACGTTCCAGAATACCTGGTGAATGCTCTGGTCTGTCCTCCGCATTGGTCACTGCTCACATGGTCACTGGAAGCTCCATAAGTGCAGGGTGCTCATGTTTCTTATTTCTGCCTGCATTGCCAGTGCTTAGAACGGAGACTGAAACACATCAGAATTATCCAAGTCCTCCTGGTCTGTCCTGTGAAGCAGGACTGTCTGATTGTTGAATCACCACTCTAGGCACCGCAGTCCTGGCCCTGGAGGGAGTGCCCAACCACCTTCCTGAGGGAGCCCTCTCATAGCCTCCCACAGGGAGCCTAGGATTGTGCAGCACCAAAGGCAGGATGGGAAGTGTCTCTGGGTTTCTGGCAACTGCTGCCATGGCCTGCACCACAGAAGGCCCCTCGGCCACTGGTGTGCATCAAGGTCTGGAATGGATGATGGGGTGGGGCAGGGTGGATTCCTACAGCTTTTTTTTTTTTTTTTTTTAAATATATTTTATTGATTTTTTACAGAGAGGAAGGGAGAGAGACAGAGAGCCAGAAACATCGATGAGAGAGAAACATCAATCAGCTGCCTCCTGCACATCTCCCACTGGGGATATGCCCGCAACCCAGATACATGCCCTTGACCGGAATCGAACCCGGGACCCTTCAGTCCGCAGGCCGTCGCTCCATCCACTGAGCCAAACCGGTTTTGGCACAGGGAGCCTAGGATTGTGTAGCACCAAAGGCAGGATGGGAAGTGTCTCTGGGTTTCTGGCAACTGCTGCCATGGCCTGCACCACAGAAGGCCCCTCGGCCACTGGTGTGCATCAAGGTCTGGAATGGATGATGGGGTGGGGCAGGGTGGATTCCTACAGCTTTACACCCAAACTCTAAGCCTCAGTATATGAGTATATAATTACACAATGGCTCATCTGGGGAAGGAGTCCAGAGAATGATTAACTTATATGTTTAATGATCCAAAGTGGTCTCTTTTGAGTATTATTGAGGCATTTCTTTCTTTTCTTATTTCTTAGAGGCAGAATAGGAGAAACAAACTGGTACCCAACAGCCCTAAGTAGGAATTTAGATTCTGCTACTGACTAGCTGTATCACCTTAGGCAAATTTCTTCTCTAGGCCTGTTTCCTCTTTTGAATAATGAATGGAATCATTGAAATTTTGAGGATTAAATGACATAATGTGTGAAAAATGCTTACTATTGTACGTTCCAAACACATGTTTGACCTTCTTATTCATGATATATTTTAATCCCAATAGCAATGTTTATTTTAGTTTATTACCAAAAATAATTTTCAGTGTGATACAGTTTTTGTAGTTAACGGAAGCCGTGCTCACAGTGAATGCAGTATATAATGCCACAATGAAGTCAGGGAAAGCGGTAATTGTCACTCTTTAATGTAGGACATAGAACTGTGAGAACTCACACGGGACCAAGAGACACCTCTGTTTGAGGAAAGGCACTTTGACCGTGGCAAAGGCAATCCTTTCATTTCTGAGCTTCCTTGGTCATCTTGTTGCCTTTGGTCATCAAGTTTGCCCTTCTTGTGAGAGGAAGCATGGATGAGCGGGGGTAGCATTTGCAACACCACAAGTGTGCTAGAACATCAGCCGCCGTGGGGTTCGGAGTCAGTGCGTGGTTGGAACGAGCAGGCCAGCTGGTCTGTAACCTGTAACCGTCCCTCTTTACCTGGCAGAGGCAGCAGATGTCAGCAGGTGCCTGTGTAGTTGTGGTTATAAAACAGAGATTTGGGGGATTTGGTCTTTCCCGTCGCTGTGGCAGCCCAGCTGTGGCCTCTGCCGGCACAGCAGTGTGCCTTTTTCTGATTTGAGCAAGGAGGGTGATGGTCCAGCTGCAGGCTTTTTGCAGATTCTGCTGAGCTCTGTGAAGGCTCATGTGAAGGTTCACAATGGAGGCTCCTTTTATTTGTGGCTCTTATTTCTATTATCCATTCAATGGCCTTATTATCTGCACCCTGAAAGCAGGCAGGGACAGTGAGCCTACTGCTTCCCAAAAGCCTCAGCTTAGCAACAGCACACTCCATGTCCCGTGGACTTGAACGTGGCTCAGTTATATGGATGCCTTAACAGCAAGGGAAGCTGGTAAATGGAGTGAACTGTGTGTCCACAGATGGTGAATAGCCACCCCCTACTTACTCATATAGTTAAAAAAACTTAAAAAAAAGAAATGTAAAGGTGAACTGCAATGTAAAGGAGAAATAAAAGGAAAGTAAGCATAGTAAAATAATACGGGTTTTAATATGTATTTCTAGCTACACTAGGAAGATAATCATAAAATAGTCAGGGGCTTGTCCCTGTGTGTGAGTCATCAGGAATGTGACAGGTGCAAATGCTGGGGTGTGGTATGGGTGATCAGACGCCCTGAGAGGTCCTTTCATAGCGATTTTCCGAAAGAGTAAACAATTGTTGATCAAGTTTGGAACAAAGTAAAGTAGTATCTTCCCTAAGTTTATAGGGTAGTTGCATTCCTGGAAAAGTAGTATATATTAAAACTGCTTAAGAACACTTTATAATTTTGGACAACATGGATGGACCTTGGGGACATTATCTAATAAGTCAGACAGAGAAAGACAAATACGTTATAGTCTCTCTTATATGTGAAATCTAAAAAAATTGAACTCCACAGAAACAGAAAACAGATTGGTGATTGCCAGAGGTGGGGTTGGAAGGTGAGGGAAAGGGGTGAAGGTGGCTAAAAGGTACAAACTTTGTTATAGGTTCTGGAGTTGTAATGTACAGCATGGTGACTAATTAACAATACTGTACTGTATGTTTGAAAATTGCTAAGAAGGTAGATCTTAAAATCTCACCACAAGAAAAGAAGTTGTAACTGTGTGAGGTTATAGATATAAACTAAACTTTTTGTGGTGATCATTTTGTAATATATGCATATATCAAATTATTATGTTGTACACCTTACACTAATACAGTGCTGTCAATGATCCTATATAATAAAAGAGAAACATGGTAATTAGCCGTAACTTCACTACCCTTCCCATTGGCTAATCAGGGCGATATGCAAATTAACTGCCAACTAAGATGGCGGCCGGCAGCCAGGCTACTGACACGAACAGGAGGCTTGCTTGTTCCAGTGACGGAGGAAGCCAACGTTCCCCGCCTGCAGCTGCTGGGCTCTGAGCTGCGCTCTAAGAAACATTGTTACAAATATAGAAGCTAAACAAAACCCCAGAAACCTGTTTTCAGCCGGCCGGGATCTCAGAGCTGGAGTCGCAACAAAGTTTCAAATACTGAAGGTAAACAAAGCACAGAAACCTGCTTTCAGCAGCCGAGGTCTCACAGCTAAAGCTGGCTCTCAGCTCCAGTGACAGCCATAGAAGGTAAATAAATCCAAGAATAAAAAAAAAAAAGGAAAAAAGGAGAGGTTGGGAGCTTCAGTCACCCGCCAGCCTGAAAACGGCCCTCAGCCCCTCACCCAGACTGGCCAGGCACCCCAGTGGGGACCCCCACCCTGAAGGGGGTGTGACCAGCTGCAAACAGCCATCATCCCCTCACCCAGACTGGCCAGGCACCCAAGCAGGACCCCCACCCTGATCCAGGACACCCTTCAGGGCAAACCAGCCGGCCCCCACCCATGCACCAGGCCTCTATCCTATATAGTAAAAGGGTAATATGCCTCCCAGCACCGGTATCAGCGGAGCCGCGAGGCCTCCTGGCCCCTGGAGCAGCGTGACAGGGGGCAGCACCCAAACCCCCTGATCGCCCTGCGGCTCTGTGTGTGACAGGGGGCGGGGCCACAACCTCCCTATCTGCCCTGCTCTGTTCGTGAC